GTTAAACAACATCCCCCCTAGCCGTTTAAACAAATCTAGACGTGCGTGGGTAAAGCACAGATTTAACTTCTATTCATATTTACAATACTTTACAAGCTATATTAAATAAATACGGGCTCTGCTACGGCATCTTAAATATGTACAACATTATTTCTCAGTCGGATTTTACCAGATAGATGCGGGTCCTATCACAGTGGATGCGCTGACTGTAACAAGTATCCCTGTGGTACAAGCTAGTAAGTACAATGACCAACCAGCCCTCAGAATAACAATTCCTAGCCAACGCAAGATACGTGCGGTAAATAATTTAATCCGTTCTAACAAATTCAAGTCCTTAAATCTTAGTCTACAAGTAATTAGCTGTACACCGATAACTTCAGGTTTTCCTCATGGTAACCAATGTAGTAAATAGTCGGCCCTTCTGGAAGTACAGTGCTCCATAGCTGAGGGGAGTGATACGTGGTTAGTAAAAATAGTACTTCAATTAAACTCCTTTATTTAGTGATATGTTTAAGTGGGTACTGGCTTTATCCACATAATCTGAAGAATTTAAGCACCAAAGAAGAACAACAGTCACACAAGATGATCAGTGTAGACATATTTAGGCTTTCCTTTAGGTACAATGTTTTCAAGTAACAGAATCCAAAGCTGTGCAACAACGATGACGAAGGGGATTGAATGTGCATCGTATTGGAAAGCCTGTTTTTGTTGTAAATGGCAGCATCTATTCCATACACTATTTGCAAAAGAAAGGAATGTATTCTCATTTTTTAAGCTACTTTCATTGTACATAAATTGGATTAGATTCAGCCCTGGCTAGTTTAGAAAATACGTATTTTACCCCTCTCTGCCAGGAAAGATCATTTCCTACTACGGGAGATACATTCCCTGCAGAAAGCAGCTTGTAACTCAACCAGCAGTATCGCTGAAACACCCTGTGCGCCAAACATGCCTCAGGATTAATATCTCACCCAAGCATCTGGCCAAACCCCGTTTTCTCTCAGGCTTACTGACTCTGGGACTCAAATGAATACATTGCAGGCCACTGCGTATGAGGCGCAGCTACTTGGCAAATTCACACCCGGTGGCTTTCCGCTGCTGGGCTCTGTGCTACAAGATACGCAAGATTTTGCCTGAATGTCACAAACACCACGATCACTGGAGGTACCAAACCTGGTCTAGTCATCTTCACAAGCAGCAGAGCTCCCCTTCTACTGCCCAAAACATCCTCCAGGCGAGGACTGCGTCACATCCACAGGTTCACATAAAATGCTGCCGCTGCCCATCCTCTGCCTACTATGCAGTTATAGAAAGCAGAAAAGGCTTCAGACAGATATCAGTCTGGCATCCTTCACAAGCACTAGGACTAGATTTTGTTTAAAACATAAGAAGCCTGTTCCAAAGTAGCGTATGCACTGGTCCCACACACTTGGAATCTGCCTGACAAAAAGTAACGTGCAAAAAGTATGTGCAACTGCACACGTAGCATGTCAGTGTAATTACCAGAAGCCTGCTCAGAAATCTGCACAGTCACAGGAGTAGCTGCTCATCTAAATGCTCCCATATGTAACCAGAGTAATCACGGGGGTATTTTGGATGCAGAACACTGGCCACCAACTCGAAAGTCCAAATACTAAGGTTTCCACACGATAAAATGGTTTAAGAATCAAATGGCACCACACCTGGTTCGACGGAAAGAATCAAAGGGTATCACACCTAACAAGGGAAGAGATGCAAAGGTTAAACAGGAGATGAGAAGTCCACCTGCACTACGGAGCGAGACCCCAGACAGTGCGCACATGTGGCCTTTTTCACTTCCAGGATTCTGAACCATTTGAAAAAAGATACATTTCACATCTATTTACAATATTACTGTGATACAATGCCTGATTGTGTAATATTATGGAAATACATGATGCCAGTACTGGCCGTCCTCTGTCATGATAAGGCAGTACAGCTAGAAATTACTGAAAGCATCAAGCAAAGCTACTTGAACTGAGACACTGAAACTTTTCCCTTAAAGACTGGACAATATTCTGCTGATTGGGAGACGGCACTCTCCACAGGTAGTCGTTCAGTTTATCTGAATCACTATATGCAGTCAGATACGGGGTAAGCGTGTGTTTGCTGCTGGCGGACTTTGCAGGAGTACAAGAGACAGTTTTGCCGCAGAGCGTTTCAGAAGGAGCAGCGTCTGCGTTACGCAGTTTAGGATCCGATTTCCTTGTTTGGTTCCGAGAACTCTCCAAGTCAGATCCCTCATCTTCAGACTTTATTTCAACATAGTCATCATCATCCCCTTCTCCTTCTTCAGTATCTTTGAAATTAGAAAAATAGTTCTGAGTCGCCATCTGTGCCGTCAGCGGGGAGGCCCTGTTCACTCTCAGGACTTTTTGAGAATCCTGCAGAATCATATCTGAACAGTTTTCGGGGATCTGCTTTCTCGTATCAAGCCCCGTACATCCCGAAGCAATACCCGGTGTTTGATGGCTGTTGAATCGGAAGTTCCTATTCGAATGGAGCTTCTTCTTGTCCATTTCATTAGGATACACGATTGATTCTCCAGACCTGTTGACCACAATTGAGGAAGATGACTGCGACCTGCTGTATGCCTGTGGTTTTACATTGCTTACTCTTCTCCCAAGGGAGTTATAGATGTGATCTTGATGTAAATTTTCTTTGTTCGGTTGGCTTATAATGGCGCTCCACCTCTGCGCCGGGACGTGCAAACGGTTAGAAATCTGAAGGGAAGGCACCGAGCCAGCTGATGGCAACTGCCTTGAACTGCTTTTTGTACCAGCTTCTGTATACGAGCTCTTGGACTTTGGGTCTTGGGATTCAGGCCATGGAGAGAAATCGGCCAGCTCACCGTTACTGTACGTAGAATGCAAAAGCCAATCTTCTGCTCTTGAGCATTCACTGGCAGCCTGGGAACGGGGAGGAGAGACAGCCACGGGCGTGGAAAACCTCCCGGCTGATGGCTCCTGAGGGGTGGCCCAGGCTTCCTTTTGGACCTTAGGTGAACTGTCTCTAAAGACGATTTGGTCATAAAGCTGGGAATATTCAGCTATTCTGGCACCTAGAAAGGAGAGAGAATTAACTTAGCAGAGGCAAGCAATCCATTTGAACGAGTCACGTGAAAATTTAAAAATCCCAAGACGCTTTGTATTCGTCAAGAGAAAAGTTTACAGCTGCGTCAATATCATCAGCGGAAGAGCCGTGCATTGCGTTGCATTCCAGTACATTGTATTGAAAAAAAGAAGCACAAAATGTCTTGCAACAGTGAACAGCCATGCAGGACGCAATGTAGCACACGGTTCCAATAATACGCTGCTTGTTTCATGTTAAATG